CATTATTGTTTATCACATTTTACGTAGGAAGGAGAGGATATACAAATTTCTGTGGGTTCTATAGCTGACATAGAATGCCACCTTCTGAGTAATGGCAGAGAAATACTACTACTGAATGCAGATACTCCTTTGCCCAACAGACAGACACTTGCTGTGAGCCAGGAAGTTAGTGTGATTTTGAGAATACAGACACAGCCCCTGCCTCAAGAATCTGCTGCCCCATAGGAAGAGAGAAAGATGTCAACAATATGGAGTCAATTTGTATAAAAGGGACCCCAGTAGATAGGTAGGATAGGTAGAGTACAAACAAGGGAAACCTGTCCCTGGGAAAGGGGCCCACAGAGGATTTGAACAGAATCGTAAAAATCATTATGACCATACTGTAAGAAAGAGGGTTGTAGGGAACAGAAATTAGCTGAGAGGCCGTTTTAAGAAAGATCTTGGAAGGTTTTTCTGTCATGCTAAAGCTTTTGGAGTTTGTCTTGCATGATCTACTAAAAGATTATAATCTTAAGGAATGCCATTCATTATTAGTTTTACATTTCAGCAATCCCTTTGTTTGAGATTTTGACAAGATAGGTTGTTAGAGGGGGAATTGGGACAAGAAGACCTGAGAATACAGCAGCAGTGGTGATGAAGATTGTAGAAAGGCCCTAAAGAGGGGCTGGAAGGTGGCTCAGTGATAGAGTGCTTGCCTTGCATGCATGAGGCCCTGGGTTTGATTCCTCAGCACCACATATTCTGACAAAGGTAAAACAATGAATCCAATGCTTATCAAATACATAAGAAAACTCTGTTTTGTTAAATGCATTTAAACCAATTGACACTTAATCTTTAAACTATTATAATCTTTAGTAATAATAAATATAATTATTCTTATCTTTGTTTTAAAATGACTTCACTAACAATGCACATAATCTCTAAGAGTATAATGGAATGAGTTTTTAAATAGTGAAGTACCGTGTTCAGTTATAGGTATAATAATTTGATACATAAATGTGTTTGGGTCTGAGAATAGGTAAAAAGAATAACTGGTTATAGTACCCATCAAGATGGAGACTCTAAAAGTGCTTTATGTTTTTGTTTTTAAATAATCCATCATATAAATTAAAGTTTGGGGGTATAGAATTGGTGTATGGTAACATCAAACTTTGCAGCTTTCCATAATGATTGTATTATCAGCTCATTGAATATTTTACCATGTTAATTCATTTTTCTATTCATTAAATAGAACACTTTTGTTCAGCTCGCCTTTTTTATATTCTAGTTTTTCCTCCGAATTTTAATTCTGTGAACATCCCATATAGTGAAGGTACGAGGTAATATGTTTGTCATTTGTAAGACTTTTTAATCTAAAATATTTTACTCCATGTAAATATTTTGAAAGATAGCAAGGTACTGATGCTAGCGTGGCATATGGAGGATTGGATGGATGGGCATAGGGACAGGCAGTAGTTTAGGATAGCGGAAGTGGAGGACTGATGACATTGTAGCCCATAGAGGTTAGTAGCAAATGCTGGTTCTACTGCATAGTGACTCAATGACTTTATGCAAATTTCCTTATTCTTCAGTGACTTCCTTCCTTGTTGACATGATTTTTAAGCATATTTTCTCCTTCATGAAGATTGATTGTGATAGTTACATGAGAGAATATGCAATGAAATTAAGCACAGTGTTTGGCATTCCAAAAATTCTGAGATGGGGAAAGATTAACAATCCAATAAAGACGACTTCAGAGTATTTTTTAATTTGGTTGTAACAATAATTTTGATATGTTCAGGAGAATATTTCTCATTTACAGTTTAACATCCATATTTAGTTGACATTTAGTCAAAGTAACATGATCTGCTTTCTAGCTCAGCGATTGCATCTCCAGTAATAGAGCTACTTTCAGCATGCTAATGAAATACATCATTAAGTCAACAGCTTCATAAATAAAATAGTTATTATTAAATATTATTGTCCAGCCTTTCATAGGAAATATTTTCGCATGTCTATAGACAAGAAAAGACATTTTCACCATACACACATAAAACACTAAACCATATCAGAAAGAAAAATTAGTGTTGTATATCCTTCTAAATTTAGAATTATTTTCTATACTATTTTAATAGTTCTACAGTTGTCTAGCCTCTGACAGATTCAACATAAGTATCAAGTGCATTTTCATATAGACACCATGATGATAAATGTCATATACTTTCTCCAGGTATATCTTTGCATGGAAGAAGGTAATGTAGTTAACTGTAGCATAGTTCTTTGAATATTTTATAAAAGACAGCACTATTGGAGTTGGTAGTTATTAAAATCCATAAAAATGAATGAGATGGCAAAGAGATGTTCTCCCATCTTTTACATCTACCATTCTAATCAAAGCTACTGTTACCCATTACCTAGAGCATCTAGTAGGCCAACTAACATCCTCTGCTCTGCTGTTGACTACCTCTACTTTCCACAAAACAGCCATAGATGACATACTATGCCATTCCTCTACGTCACAATAAAAATGAAAAATCTCATCACATTTAGTAAAACCTACACTCCTACAAGATCCAAAAATCTAGACAAAATCTATCACTTCCAGTAAAACCCACACTCTTCACAATATACTAAAATCTACACAGTTCTGTGAAGTATTGTTTCCTCTGCCCTCCTCCAAACTAATGTATTCTTCCTCTTTCTAGGACACCAGCTTTTTCTTCTATAAAGAAGTGTATGCTAGCTGCTTACTCTCCCTGGCAGTCTTCCCTGCAAATCTTCCATGGGAAACTCTTTTGTTACTTATTTACACATTTATTTATCTATTCATACGATAGCATTTTTTTTCAATTTCTATTTTCAGGAAGAAAATGTCTTATATAAAAAAAGAAATAGAAATGTTAGTTTTCTTCTCATTAGTTTATGCCGTCATGAACCTTTCATTTGTTTCCTAGCACTTTTTCTTTTGTCTTCAATCTGTTCCCAAAGTCTAGACATTGTCAGCTGTGGTCAGAATTAGGTAGGTCAGAGTGTGCCTTCAATTCATTCCATGATCTACACTCTCTCTCCCCCTCCCTCGTTCTTTCTCATTTTCACCCCCTAAATCTTATCTTCTAGTATTGACCTCCCATTTTACATACTATATCTTTAATTCAATGATCTTGACCACTCCAATATAATAACTAACAGTTCTTCTTTCCCTGTCTCCCTCTCTTCTTCTTAATTTTGAATATTTTATTATCTTTAAGTAGTTGTACAGTAGTGGGGCCATTCACCAAAGAAGTTTATCAATACAGTGCATCTTGATCACTGTCACCTCGCTCAACAGTCTAACTCACCCTCACCCTCCCAACCCACAAATTATTTTAAGCAAGGTAATCTAGACCTAGAGAAGCATACTTTGCATGTTTGCCTTCATTTGTAGTAGATAGAAGGTACCTAAACATGTACAGGTAATAACACCAGGTGGTAAGCAAGGGATTACAAATGAATTAACTGAAGTGTAATAGACTTTATGAACAGAGCTAATTATAGAATTCTTTTAAAAAGACCAAGTCAATGCCCAACAAGAAAAGTAGTAGGAAATGTGTTCTTGCAAGAGAGGAGAGAGGAGGGTGAGGCCCAGGGTAGAGGGTAGACCAATGAAGGGGGAAGGGAGGGAACACTGGCAAGGATTCGTTGTACATACCACAGAATTGAGAAATATAAGGGAAAGGGGTTGAAGGGGGATGAAGATCAGAAGTGGTGATAAAAATTCATTGTACGTACAAACAACTTTGTTAAATGGCAGAAACTTCATTGCATAGCTTCTGTTATTTAGATTTGACTAAAGTACCATGGCTTCTAGGGGTGAGGAAAGATTTTAATTTTTTGCCAAGGGCTTTTTGTATATTTCTATCACATGGACCATATATAATTATCCATACAGGTGGACAGGCCTGTATTGAAGCATTCCAAATCTATCCTGTCCTGTATCAAATTATATCACAAGGATTATTTGTCCCACAAGCTCAATGTATCTTTCCTGACAATGGAGTGTTCTTTAATGAGCAAGTTTTTACTTTGAAGATCATTTTAAACAGTCATGACTGAGTTTAGAAAATGTTCATTTGAGAAATCTTAACCACTAAGTTGAGCATTATCCACCAAAAAGTAGTTTATTGAATATTTCTTATCATTGCTTAGTATATCCCTACAGATAATGTTGTTCCTTTCTGTATGTCATATAGGTGCATACTGATGTGTTAATGAAATTGTATCTTGTGCATAGAAAGCATCCACTTCTCTTGACCATAGTCTTTTTCTAGCAGCACAAATTCTAGACTTTGACAGCTCCGTAAGTGGGGGCTTATACCATCCATAAAACTATATCCATTTAACACTAAAGAAAAACTATAAAAATGCAGATGAGTTGTTGTTTTTAAAAACAGATGTGCTTGAAGGGGTGACTCCGTAGTACAGAACTGGTCTAGCATGTCAAAGGTCTGAGGCCATGCCTGTTTGACTAAAAGTGTACAGTCAGAATAGATTTTCCCAAGGCCAGAGTCACCATCTGAGCGACTTTAACAAGTGTACCTCTTAGAAATAATCAAGCTTAATTCCTACAGGCGTACAAATTTAATCCATCTGTGATGTATAGCCCAGCATAAGGATTCTAACTCTACTTCATTGCTACATTTACATGAGTAAAGACCTTCTAGGGAAGCAGTAGCTACAGTGAATTTCCAGCAAGTTATCATGTGCCTATTCAGGAAACCTCTTAGGAAGTACAAACACACTTTATTTAGTAGGAACATTAACTATGCCAACTATTTTTGTGTTGATAGCCAAATATAGAAGGCTCATTATATTTTTGGTTTCCACTATACAATACTCAAAATAGAGAGCAAAATCCATCATCTCCTCTATTGTATCTGTTCTCTTGTATCAGGCTATTTCAGGAAAGGTTTCTCACCCATATATTTTCCCCCAAAGTTGATACTATCTCTCTGATAAACACTATTTCTGCTTGGTTATTTCAGTGCTTTTGTGTAATGGGAAATTTCACAAACACTTGCAAGAGATCTTTGTGCCCTTGGTGGTCCGCTACGTTGACCTCATGGAGTCCTCCATCGCCCAGTCAATTCACAGAGGTTTTGAGCAAGAGACATGGCAGCCTGTCAAGTAGGTATCTTACCCAGAATCCATAGAGCATCTGTCTCTCAGTCCTGACCTTATGACTTTACACATGGCCATCTGTAGTTATTGCTTATGGTGGTCCCTTCCCACGTTGTTTGTTTCTTTACAGGAATATCGCCAACAGTCTTCCCAATGTAGCTCTTCCAAAAGTTCCAAGTCTGCCTCTTAATCTTCCACAGATTCCTAGCTTTTCTACTCCTTCGTGGATGGCTTCTTTATATGAGTCCACGTGTGTATCCCTCACTTATTTCCTGGTGGTGTGTTAGCTAGTGCATGGCCTGGGCTGTGTTCTGTGCAGATGTGTTTAGATTGCATGGCATTTATCATCATTGGTTTAGGAGTACTGTGTTTTTAGTTTTTATTTGTTTAAATGTTTTAAGCTGTTAAGTTAAGCTTAGCATATCAGTGACAAATGATGCAGATTGAAAAGGGAAAAAAAAGAGGACACTGATTTGATGCAATTCATATGTAATCTGTGACCTGAGGGTCATTTTGTGACCCAGGTTACAGAATCTCCTCTGAGTAATATGACCAGAATTTTTTTCCATGGTTAAATACTGTATATCTTATGGATGCTTAGATTTAGTTTTCTTATCACTCACATGTGTTAGCTTCTCCTAGCAAAAACATTATTGGAAGGATTTCAAGAATATAATCTTTGTCTTTTTTTATTCCAGTCTGAACATTTATGAAACACCTTTCAGGAAAAGGATTGTCCTTTATTTCCCAATACCATGAAAATTCTTCTTTTGTTCCTTCTTGTATCACTTGGGAGACCTTGTTATATTAAGATAATCATTATATTCTTAAAAACTGTGTGTATTAACACCATACAGTGGTGAGCATGATTAAAGTAGATTCAGTAGCAAGAGTCATTTCTGTGAAAAGTCAAGAGCTTTGTAAATGATCAGGCCTGAACTTAGATCTTCACTTCTGCTTCATAAATCTTTTTTCAACCTCACTTTTCTCAACTATAACTCATGACACCCATCTTAAGGACATTATTGTGAAAATTAAAACAAAAATGTAGAAAGGTACTTGGCACATCCTAGATATTCAATCATTGCTATTAAAAATTTCTAAGCACCCAATAAATAGAAATTACTATTATTAGTAGTATACATTATTATTGTTATAGCCATCTATAGTTGTCCATATTAAAACTATGAACCTTCCAACAATGAAATGAATAACAGATATAGTCTGCAAATATACAGACTCTGACAAAAACTTTGTTTTCCCAAAATCTCATGAATTCAATTAAAAAGAATGAGTAAGCCAGGCACAAGTAGCTCATGCCCATAATCCCAGCCAAGGCTGAAATGTGAGGATTACAGTTTGAAGCCAGCCCAGGAAGACAATTTCAAGACTATTATCTCCAGTTAACCAAATAAAAGCCAGAAGTAGATATGTGACTCAAGTGGTAGAATGCCGGTCTTGAGCAAAAAAGCTCAGCAAGAACACAAGAACCTGAGTTGAAGCCCCAGTACCAGTACAAAAAAAGAAAGGAATATTAGAAATTTTCCTACTGAGAAATTATCCATTTATTGAGAATGTGCTATGTTCTAGTTACAGTGATAAGTTCTTTATCTCACTTAATCCTTACCACACCTCTGTAAGGTAAGTGTCATTGCCTACATTTTATAGTTAAGGGAAACCACATTCACAGAGGAGTTAAAAACTAAAACATGTTCAAAATCTATTAGCAAGTGAGCAATGAGAAAAAATTTGAACCCATCTTTGCTCAACCTTTCCAAATCTCTCCGTTCTCTTCAGTTTATTCTGCTTCCAGAGAATAGGTTGCTGAAAAACTGAACAAGCTTCCTTTCTTTCCTGCCAACAATCAAACAAAGCTATATTCAGGCTAGCTTCTTACATATATATGTAAGAAGACAACAACCAAAACAAACAAACAGAAATTTGTAGGACTGTTTCAGCAATATGTCTCCAAGTCAAATAACATCATTGGACTTTTAATCTAGTGAGCAGGATTTTATGTTACATCTGGATTGTTTCATACTACACAAAAACAAAAGTTTTTTGCCATTAAAGTATGTAGAGGAATATCTGTGTGTACTCAGAAATTAGGAAGGGAAGGATAATAAATCTATTTTCATTTTTGTTGCCTCTTTATATTGTGTATACTACAATTCTTACTTACTCTTCATCTATTTACAACTTTGGATTCTAGCCAGTGAAATTACTGTGGGCATTATCCCTTAAAAGTTAATTTTCTGAAGATTCCTGCTGACAAATGGAGCTTTCTAAATAAAGTGACTGTGCTTTCAGGAAAATAAAAAAATGTTTTCATGAGTGTGCCACATTATCTTTCTCTCTAAGTTTATCAATGCTACGTTATTTGTTATAATGCCCTAAAATCACTCACAAAGTTAGGTTGTTGCTACAATTCCATTTTCATCATAAATATCAAATAACAAGACACATTTTCATCTCCTAAAAAGAACTAAGGTATAACTTCTGCTTAAGATACACACCCGCGCATGCACGCACACACACCCACACTCCCCCCCCCACACACACATACATACATACATACATACATACATACATACATACATACATACATATATAACCAGGCAAGGCTATAGCTCAGTGGTAGAGCAAGGCTATGAATTCAGTCCCTAATATAACAAAGATACGCTGACGATCTTCTTTATGTACTCATGTTGATATGTTCCTAAATAAAGTCAAGAGGTAGCACCTCTTTATTTCTCTCTGTATATAAAATTGTTAGTCTAGAAATTAATGTCAATGATGAAAATTTCCTCCTGGCATATTGAGAAAATGATCTCAGGGTCAATTATTCACATTTGAATTATTTAATCTGTTAATAATACCTTTAGGAATAGGTCACTGATTAGAAATAATTTTAAATGAAAGGCTTCTGAATAAATTGCAGGTTACATATACCAACTCTAGAGAAAACCTACTTACATATTTTTCATCTATCTATTAATTATAACAAACACTTGTTATCTTAATTACGTTCCCAATTAAATGCATTTATTGTCTACTCTTAACATAGCTTCAAACAGAAGAAAAAATTATAGAGACTCATATTCTCTATAAAGACTTGTCACATATTTTGCAGAAGTCAATTTTTGATAGAATTTTGCCTTTAATATTAAGAGCTTTGTATTGATGTTGGTTTGTTGTTTTCATTTTTTGTTAAAGAAGGCATACATTTAAAAACTGGTATGTATCCAAAGTAAAACACACACACACACACACACACACACACATACACACACACACACACACACACACACACACACACAACAGATTTGCTTCTTTGCCAATTACAACAAATTAGTACATGTGTCTTCTAATTTACTAATCTAACCACATGGATATGCAAGGAGGATTTTTATCTGGATTTTATCCTCTTATTTTTGTTACATATTGAAAGAAGGTGAATAAAGGTAGTTTTTCTTTCCAAACATTTGTTGCAATAGTATCTGGTGGGTACTTTTATTGAATAGCCTATTTAGTGCATATTTAGATGAGGAAACACTCAATTAAGTTCTATGGGTCCCTTAAGAACTTAACTCTAAGAACATCATGTCTGGACCAGGAGATCACAAGGAGTTACTGACGGAATGAAAGAGAGAAAGCTACTTGGATGGGTAACGGAACCAAGACACAGAGGTCAAGGTGGAGAGCAGAAACACAGCTTTTAATTAGTCAGAGCAAGGGGTGCTTTTTCTAAAACTAATTAAGATATATTTAGCTAAACAGTGTGATTATTGAAAATAATATCACTTTTAAATTTTTTTCCACTGTACCCTTATAATAAATGAGTGTTTAATTTCTTTTATTGTCTTTGTAAAAGGAACTATCAATGTTAGTTTAGTATGTGTGAAGCAATTGTTAAAAAGCTGATAACAAATGGTGCAGACAGCAGCCTTTTTTTTTTTTTTTTTTGCTTTTTGCTTTTGCTTTGTTCTTAGTATGTTGAGTCTCAGAATGTTTTTGTTGGAATATTTTGCTTTTAAATATCTGTCATTCTACTAACCTATATACTTGGATAATGAAAAGTAATAGCACTATCCTTTGCCCAAATATTATACAAATTCTTTTACAAATTACCTTCAACCACATTATGGCTCCACAATTAGATATAAAGACTTGATATACATGATTTTACCCCACCATCAAAGCACCCTAAATATTGTTTCTGTCAGTACATATCTTATGCTGATCTAGATTTTAGTTATAAGCTACAAAAGGCACAATACATTTCAAAATACAAATGACTGTTTCCTTCTTCACTTAGCCTATTATTTCCAATCCTTGTGTCACTTCACATTGAGCAATGTGAGGGCCTGTATGCTGCACACCTGCAGAGAAAGGCCAATGTTATGTCAAGGCATACAGGCATAGAGGAAAGTAAAGCTACTAGTGCTGTCATATTGATTTTCTTGCATAAAGCATAGCTTTGAGACTTTCTGATGTAAAATTTTAGGTAGTCTTTATTTTTGAGATTATTTAAAAAACATTGTTAAATGTTATATATATAAAATCTCATTTCTTTTCCTTAGTAAAGTACTCTTTCCCCATGTTACCTATTGCTTTTATGAATGCTTACTGTTGTATATGTTTCTATTTTGTTCTCCTTGCCTTGACATTTTAAGAAATAGGAAGGAAGAATTAGAAGGCTGAACAAAGAAAATATTGGATCATTAACAAATTTAATGTGATATTTTTCACTGAAGGCGATAGAAACAGAAAGGGAAAAAAAAGTGTTTGTCCAAAGAATTAAACAGTAGTTAAGTTCATAATATTCTTTGTTTTCCCTTTTTGTTCTAGCAATGGCTCAACAACATCTGAAGACCTGTTTTGGAAACTGGATGCCCTGCAAATGTTTGTCTTTGATCTGCATTGGCCCGAACAAGAATTTGCCCACCACTTAGAGCAAAGGCTTAAACTAATGGCCAGTGATATGATAGAAGCCTGTGTCAAAAGGTAGAAATGCATTTTCAAATTACTGCTTAAGATACCAGCAACCAGCATAGCACATTTCACCAAGTACCTGCTACATAATTGTCCCAAGAAAGGATTCCATTTGTACTACTGGTCTAAAATGGAATAGGCTTTGGGTTCACTGACCTAAATTCTGGATTCAATTGATCTGATGATACTTTTTGATTCAGTTTTCCCATCCATTCTCTTAATCAGTAGCACCCCTACTCTGTTAGTCATTATTTCTGTGGGAATATTGTGCTTTAAATTCCCTAGGAGCTTTCTCTTGAGGCATAAGGAAAAGTTCTGCTGATCAAGTCTGCATGCTGTGGAATGATGTGGCAAACTAAAGAGTTTTGATCAGTTCTGGGATTACTCACTATATTCTAGCACTCTCTATCTACCACTATGAATTTCATGTGTCTATTTGCATTCTTTAGCACTTAACAGGAAACAAGTTATGATAGTTTGGAATCTTCCCTTTGAGCTTTCTTTTGTTAATAGTTCTTACAAATTGACCTTATATCATATTGATCAAGCATCATTTTTTCCCATTTTCTATGTTTATAGTTGCTCAAAAGAAAGTGGGATAGCACATTGGAATAAGTCAAACAATGGATAGGGTAACTAAATGTTTCTGAATTCTTTTTTTTTTGGTGTTGGTCCTGGGGCTTGAAACTAGAGAGTAAGCACTGTTACTGAGCTTTTTTTTTTTTTCCCCCTGTGCTCAAGACTAGCCATCTACCACTTGAGCCACAGTTCTACTTCCAGCTTTTTGGTAATTAATTGGAGATAAAATTCTCATGGACTTTACCACACTGGTTAGCATTGAACCTAAATCCTTAGATCTCAGCCTCCAGCATAGCTAGGATTACAGGTGTGAGCCTCTAACACGCAGCTCTGTTTCTGAATTCTTCAATAAAACAAAGAAACATACAAAAAGCCAAAATTAAACCTGTCCTTAGAATAATGTTTAATGGTCCTCTAAGGCAAGGCTATAGATCAGTTTCTTTAGTTTAAACAAACTAATTCTGTTATCTCAGATCTATGAATATTTAGCCTTTAAGTTCTTTAGCAAAGCCAATTTCAGATTACCTGTTAGGCACTTTCTTTCAAAAAATGACTGGCAACTCCAAGTGTTCTCATGATAACTTAAATGAGAAACGAATTATATGTTCTCAGTGTATGTGCTTATATTTATGGATTTTGAAACTTGTTCATTTTTTCAATTTGGCAAGTTCTCACATAGAGGATTTGTTCTGCTTTAAAGTAGAGAAGTATGCGATTTTTCCACTTGGAAATTAATTCAAGCAGTTAAGTAAAGTTAATGATTTTTCATTAAACGTGATATATTAGCTGTAACAAAAAGCTTCATTTATGTGGTGGTATTGTTTTGAGTGACTGTGTAAAGCTAGTATCACTTGGTAAAGAACATTTGAAATGCTCTTGTAGAAAATATGACACTCTGACCTTTCAGAAAAGGAATCTGAAAAGGAGACCAGCTCACCCCTAGCTCCCAGGCTCTGTCACACTGTTTAGTCCTTATTTGAATGTTTTAAATTATCATCTTGTAGTGTTGATTTCACTTTTACAAAACAAGTGGCAAAGTATGTCAGGTTTTTTTTTACTCTAAATTCATGTTTTAAAAACTAGAACAAGAACTGCATTTGAACTCAAGCTGCAGAAGGCAAACAAAACAACTGACTTGCGCATTCCTGCTTCTGTGTGTACCATGTTTAATGTATTAGTGGATGCCAAAAAGCAAAGCAGCAAGCTCTGTGCACTGGATGGAGGGCAGGAGGTAAGGAAGGAAGGGCATCTTCTGTGCCGATGTAATGCAGGGAGTCCTGGCTTGGAGGAAATTTGGTTCATGACAGCTGTTCTTGTTGTTGTTGTTTTTGTTTGTTTGTTTTTTAATGAATGCTGCCTGAAATTTTTACAAGTGGCCTTTGAATTTCAGATATACCTTTTAGGTGTTGTGTATTTACATAAACCTTGCTTTGTACAAGCAAATGAGAAAGCTAAAAAGCTACCTGCTTTGTGTACACAAATTCTGAGTAGCCAGACTTTGCATCCATAAAACCAAGCCAACAGAAGAATAGCATATGAAATACTTTATTTACGCAAAAGTTTCCACTTTGTAAAGATCAACTAGAAATGTACTTTAAAATGAGGCCTTTCCTTTGTCAAGTAGCATTCCTTTATGTCACTGACACTTGCGTTTGGTTTGGTTTTAAATTCAAAAATTACCATTTTCTGTTACCCATGATTTGTTTTTGTTGAGTGTGGTGATTGGGTAAAAATTATTTTTCATAGATTATCTGTTTAAGTTGATATTCTGTTGTCTTTTCTCCATTGTAGTTACTTTTTCATCATTTCTTTCTTCTTTCCTCATGTTATCTTCCATTGTCATTTTCACCCCCATGGTGTGATCCAGTTTGGTAGTCAATGGGTAAGTCTCTCCTTTTTCATTGTTTTTTTCTTTTAGGGGAAGTACATTGTCATTCGAATTATTATTTTTAGAAATCTATGTTTTAATTTTCATCTTTTCAAGTTAAAATACTAGAATTTCATTTTCAGGAGGTTTGGTTTTTTTTTGGTTTTTTTTTTAAATGATCTTTTTTTTTTTTTTTTTTGGGTCCGTTGTGGGCCTTAACTCTGGGCCTAGGTGCTGTCCCTCAGCTCTTCAGCTCAAGGCTAGCGCTCTACCACTTGAGCCACAGCACCACTTCCGGCTTTTTTTCTTTTTGCTTATGTGGTGCTGAGGAATCGAACCCAGGGCCTTATGTATGCAAGGCAAGCACTCTACCACTGAGCCACCTTCCCAGCCCCTTTCAGGAGGTTTGGCTTCTGTGTAAGACTAACAGCTTGTTGGAGAAGCAATAACCCAAGCTGGACCTGGTAGCTCACACCTGTTATCCTAGCTACTCAGCAGGCTGAGCTCTGAGGATCATGGTTTGAAGCCATCCGAGGCACAAAAGTCTATGAGACTCTTATCTCCCAAAAACCAGAAGTGGAGCTGTGGCTCAAAGTGGTAGAGTGCTAGCCTTGAGCACAAAAGCTCAGGAACAGTGCGCAGGACCTAAGTTCAAGCCCCAGGACTGATCAAAAACAACAAACAAAAGAAGCAGCAACCCAATGACATATTAAAATACATGTATGGGGCTGGGAAGGTGGTTCAATGGTAGAGTGCTTGCCTTGCATGCATGAGGCCCTGGGTTTAATTCCTCAGCACCACATAAGCAGAAAAAAAGCCGGAAGTGGCACTGTGGCTCAAGTGGTAGAGCACTGGCCTTGATCTGAAGAGCTCAGGGATAGCGCCCCATGACCGACAAAAAAATCAAAATACATGTAAATATACCCCAAATAATGTCAGAGAAAGAAATTCCCTGTTAAGTAGGAGAATCTATAACCTCTTCTTAGGTTTTAAAAGAAAATAATTTAAAGCCAGGTGAATTTACCATCCTTCAAGTGAAAATCTGAATAACTTAGCAGCAGTGAGACTTTAACATTTTCAAGCATAGAGAGCCATAAGTGTATATTTCCTTAGATACCAGAAGAATTAAGTGTGGAACTTTAGATGACAGAGAACATATATCAGGATAACTCCCAAACACTTGGTATTAGGAAGCCACACACAAGGTCCATTTTATCAGTAACCTGGGACTTGTTATCATCAGAGATAGGAAAGAAGCAGCCTGGGTCATGAAGCTTTCACCCTTCCCAGGAAAGGTTGTCCTGAGGTACCACACCATAGCTCTGAGGTACATGGTTTCCAAACCTTTATGCATACAAGATTGACTAAATTGCACTCTGCCATTGTGGTTGCTGTTGTTTAAGGCTCTTTCCTCTTTATGACCAGGATAAGTCTTCCAAGTCTCATAGCTGTCATCTGGAAGGCAGTAGGCAACAATGCCCAAGCTGAAAATTCAAACACAAAGATTTAGCTAACTGCAAAACAGAAAAGAAGGCCTACTCTTTGTGAATTTTATACCTATGTAGCTCAGATATGGACATTTACTATCTGGTCATAATTTATAATTATGTATATACACTCACATTTCATTCTTTGAACAAAATGTCTTTTAGCACTAGAGCACACAATCTTACAAATACATGCATAAGTAACTGACATGTAAGTGTTGTAGAATATTCAGTAATTATCATTCTTTGGTCACTTATGACATGATATATTATCTCTAATTATCTGAATGAGTAGGCAGCTGGCTTGCACACCAATGGCTCCTAATCACCTCTTCCTGTTTTTCAATACCCAGATGTCAGTCTGAGTGTCTGCCTGAGAATGTTAAGTCTTTTTATAAGCCCATTTATTCTCATCTAGATTATAGAATCATCACTAATATAAACTTGTCCCAGTTGTTCGTGTTTTAATATACAACACAGAACCCAACACATTTAACAGGCACTTAGTAAATATTTATTACGTGAACGGACAGACTGATTTCAAAATTCAGTGCTTTCAAAATTCAGCCCCAATAGAAACAACTCTATCTAATACCTTAAAGAAAGAGAAACAGGCCAACACACACAAATGACAAACGGTGTTCTGTGGCCAAATGGTTCTTTATATTACTAGTTGAATGCTTCTGAAGAGAAATCTGCTATTGTTCTATTGTTCATTATACCTGCACCTGTACCTTCCCACCAGAGACAATTAGTTCCCCACAACTTTCACACAATTCATATAGTTCAAAATGTGCAGGTGTAAAACCCATTAGCAGTCTTGAAAAGTGCAAAAAAAAATGAATCTCATATAGTTTGCTTTTCTCCAGTAAATATGACCACATAATTTCACAAGCTTTTCCTATTTGCTAATTTTTGCAATTGTTGCAAATTAGTAAATATATTACATGTACCCGTGAATAAGTAGGCACCATTTTATAGAAAGCTACAGACTTCTTGATTAATTAGATTACTGGACAATTTGGAACCAAGTAAAATATATAATACATAGTTAAACCTAGCAAAAATTATTTCTAAGTTATAAGGAAATCACCTTTCTGAGTTATTTAGTTATGTTGTCATTGCTGAAATAAAACCATTCCCTGTGTCTAACTGCAGTGTCACAGAAGCCTCTACAGTGCTCTGAAAATACTATTTGTTTTTTTACATGCCACATGATGATGCAAATATGCTCTCCAAGGCCCCAGAATAGGGTTTAATGGAGTGATTAGTGAGTGAATGATCTGTTCATGTGACAGCTGTGTGTAATGAGTCAGCAATCTCAGGCCAGTTCCTCAGGGACAGATGTTGAGATCACAAAACCACCACAGTGTTTAGAATCCTTGTTATCCCTTGCTAGAGAAAAGCAGACTGTAGGAGCTGAACGCACTTCCCCTAGAGCCACTTCATCTCACGGTTCCATTGGATGACAATTGATGATGGAACTCATTCATGGAGCAACTCAAGGGAGCAGGGGCCCTATGTCTGTAGGTTTTGTTCTTAATGTAAAAGGCTTCCATTCCAAAAATTAACAATCCAAGCCTCTTAAAATGCATCCCAAGGGAAAGCATATCATCTTTAAAGAAGTCTAACCTGGGGCTGGGAAGGTGGCTCAGTAGAGTGCTTGCCTTGCATGCATGAGGCCCTGGGTTCAATTCCTCAGCACCACATAAGAAAAAAGAAAAAAAGCCAGAAGTGGCGCTGTGCCTCAAGTGGTAGAGCGCTAGCCTTGAGCTGAAGAGCTGAGGGACAGCGCCCAGTCCCAGAGTTCAGGCCCCATGACCAGACCCCCCCCTCAAAAAAAAAGAAGTCTAAGCTACCCTTACGTTTGTTCAGTCTTCCTTTTTTTTATTTGTTTGTGTAAGAACAATCAGGGCAAATGATTATATTCACTTAACCATAGGGAGGCCAGAGTTTTAGATATGCATGGATTCTGTAAAGTCAGAACTCCTCAATGGTTATTTAATGTAAGTTCAGAATCATTTGCTGAAAAAATCAGGACAGAAACAGTTTGCTTTTGAGAGTAAATAAGGACATAATTAGTTTAAGAAGGGGGTTGGTGCCAGGCACTGGTGGTTTATACCTTTAATCCTAGCGACTCAGAAGGCTGAGATTTGAGGATTGAGTTTCAAAGTCAGCTGTAGCAGAAAAGTCTGTGGGTCTTTTATCTCCATGACTCAAAGTGGTAGAATGCTAGCCTTTAGCAAAAAGAGCTCGTGGACAGTGCCCAGGCTCTAAGTTAAAGCCCCATAACCAACAAAAAAGAAAGAAGGAAGAGGCTGGAATCAACTAAAGCTATGAAATGTGGGACTGGCGATTCACTTTAAAATCTTCTAATAAGACTTGTAGAGCTGGGAATGTGGCTTCGAGTGCTTGCCTACATGAGTGCTAGCATGCAAGAAGCCTGAGCTTGATTCCTCAGCACCACATAAACAGAAAAAGCCAGAAGTGGTACTGTGGCTCAAGTGGTAGAATGCTAGCTTTGAACAAAAGAAGCTCAGGGACAGTGCACAGGCCCTGAGTTCAAGCCCCAGAACTGGTAAATAATAATAATAGTAGTAGTAGTAGTAATAGTAGTAGTAGTAGTAATAGTAGTAGTAGTATAGGTATTTTTTTAGGAGAAAGACTAATTTTTTTATTGATAATGCCATCTGAATAAAAAGCAAAATATCAATTTAACTTAGGCAATATAATGTTTTCACATAAATTCTGGTGTTAGTTATTTGTTCTCTATTTGGGGCTATCTGTGTTTATCTCATATATATATGAATTATTGCCCTTATAGAATAACTGTGAAATAAGAATTTTCAGGCCACATTCTGACACACTCCTAGACCATCTCCACCAACAGTACAGCCAGGGCAAATTCTAAAAGTTCCTAACAATTACTATTATACTATGAGATAAATTTACAAAGGTGAATTTCATATTATAGAAACCTAGATCTAATAAGATAAATTTACAAAACTGAATCTCTGAAACCTAACTAACCTCCGATTATTTGGGCTTGCCTCTTGGGTAAAGATGAATACTTCCTTCCTTTTTAACTTTATTAATACATTCTCAATCTTACCTTCTTCTTTCCTCCTCTCCCTTGTTCTATTTCCTCTCCACTGTTTTTGGCCAGAATAAGAGTCACAGAAAGCAACTATGTAAGGATATATATTGTAGCAGATTTTCTTGGCTCCTGGTGGCTGTTGGGTTTATCTAGTTTTTCAGTAAAATGAGTATAAATGACCTCTTTAGTGATGCATCATGGAATCACTGCAACCCAAAAGTTCAACATGTACAAGTTCTAATTTTAGTTAAATAACTATCTGATGACAATGTATTCCTTTTGAGTTAAAAAAAAATTGGAATTGATGAGAAGTAGAGCTAAGCATTAAGGCTAAAATCCTATCTATCTTCAAAACAAAGTAACCTTTTTGCAGATCTAGGTACCTTAAATATCCACTCTGCACTTTGGAGGGCCTTTTATGTTAGATGGAAATAGGAACTTGAACTCTTAGCTCCTGTATCATTTCTGCCTCCACTGTACAGTGGAACAGGGACAGGATATTGCATTTCTTCTTCCTTCTTGACCACAGGTTTGGAGCCTGAGGATCTGAAAGGAATTTAGTGGAGTTCATTTGAATAAGCCCTTCAACCACACAATCAGCTGCATAGCTTTCGGCCAGGCACTAGGGATCCTTTATTCTAGGTGTATCAGTTGGACCTCATCCTAACAACCAGCCTAGTCATTAGAGTTGTGCAGTTGGCTTCAGACATGTTCATGTGATTGCCTGCCAGGCTCACAAGGTTATTGATCATTTAGATTCCTTATAACCTTAACTACCAGCCAGTTTGCTCAGGTTTATGGCGGGGGGGGGGGGGGGGCAGGAGGGTTGTTGTTTTGGTTTTTTTTCTGTTTTTGCTTTATCTTCTAACTGTTCCAAAAGGTCTAGTGTAATAGGAATCCACCCACCCTCTATGTTTTGAATCTATTTGTCGTCTAAGGGTCACAGCTTTGGAACTCAGTGGGGCTTTAATTGAGCCAGACAAGCTTCACTGGGTCTAATATGTGCCTATGAGTTTCGACTGTCATATATTGGGGTTAATTTTAGCCCTCTGTCATTACACATATGCAGTGAAAAAGAAAATAATCTGAAGGCTCCCAAGATTCTGCTTCCTTTGTTATTTACTCAAGTGGATGATGACCACTTATAACTGTCAGAGCCCTTGAAGGAGCAGGGATCATTCTCCGCAGTCCAAGGCAGGCCTAAGTTGATGTTTTGTTCTGTGGGGAAACTTTGAGACATGTTTTCAGAAGGCAGAAAAAATAGCCTTCAAAAACTTACATCTTAGGAAACCATTCAACTAGCAGCTGTTAAGTTGGTCCCATGTTTATGCTGACCTGAATACTTTTTACTCCGTGCATTATGTCTGCTGTTCTAAGAAGGCTTGAATCATCAGGACAGGGTTAGTCTTTACAAGTCACATTTTCTGTGAAGTGGCCATTGGGGACAATCTGCTGTCAGATAAATGCTTCTACAGCAAGAAATACTGTTTAAATGGATAGGATTCCATATGCCATGGAGGCCCAACCTCACGCTCCTACCGGTTTAAAAATGGTCCTTTCGCTTATATTTTCTAAAGAAAGAAAAAAAAGAGGAGTCTTTCAGATTTATTTTAAATACATCATTTTTGTATTTATTTAAAGGCATCTTTCTCATGAAGAAGCAGTATGAAAACTATGGGGCGTGAGTGCTGTTTCATTGTACCTTTTGTGGCCTATTAATTTGTTACCATCTATTCACCTTTGTTGATGAAATTTTAATTTTGCTCTTGCTTGGGTATATTGTCAGAATTGTATAAGCTGCTGCTCCCTGCGCTGAGAAAAAGTTCCTTTTAGGGAGAACAATAGGGAGCTAATTTTATTCCTAGAGACACATTTTAAAATAACTTATGAATGAGAGTTGTCAGACATGAAATGCTGTATTAATTAAATCTTTTTCTGGTCTTTTTGCTTCTCCAGCTAAACCAACCCTTTAGAAAAATACAGGGCCACCTTAATTACAGAGGAGAAGACAAAAAGTATCCTTCACATTCCTCTGCCTGAATAAGACTAAGAACTCAATTCATCTAAATAATAACCCCATTAGCTGCTTAACGCAACAGTGCACATGGGAAAATTTTCAACCCACAATGTAGAAATGTTGATTGGGTGGATCATTTTCAAGGTTTTGTTCTTTTCATGTTCCAAATGATCATTTTAAGTAAATCTGATATGTCATAACTAGTAGCTTTGGAGCATTTGTGACATATGACAAAAGATTTGTGTCGATATCCACTAATACATCTTTGTCTTTTAATGTCTAGCAACAATACCATTCGAAAATAGACGACTTGATTGACAACACCGTTAAAGAAATCATTTCAATGCTAGTTTCAAAGGTAATACGTTGTTTATTCACCTTATTCAAATTACCATGATGATTATTTAAACTTACATATTACTTCCCTTGTTCCAGAAGTTCTGACTCAGAACGATTGGAGAGTAAGGCATTGAAATCTGCAGTTTGTCAGCTTACAAGTAATTGTTGTGCTTGTAGATATTCAAGAATTATTGAATCATAAAGTGTTTTCTTTACCTAAGGAAATAAAAACGTTTATCCAGTCCACTCCTTTATTTAATATATATAATTCTTGTCAATTTATTATTTTCTTTGATTATTTTGAATAACCTCTGGGTGTGTTTTGTCCCCTTTATTCATCTTTAGATATGATGGTTCAATGAATTACTTATGCTTGATTCTTTCCTAGTGGTCATTGCTTGTCTACTCTCCTAGGGAGATTCTTTTTCTTTCCTATGCTCTCACTATGTGTAAACCCATATTCCCAATAGCTGTCTATACATCTCCACCAATGCCACCTCCACTATAAGTGTTTCATGTTCTTTACTGTCTCCACTAGTATTAATAATCATCCCACTGTTAAATATCCTTATTCTAGGATCCTTTATCATACAAGAGGATCCTGGGGCCTAATGAATCACTCTCCTACATGGACCTTTCCCATTCCAGTCCATTCTCACTGGCACTGCCACCCTTCTGTAAATTCTCATCGCTTCTCCTTTTGTGATCTTGCCTCATTCATGTTCAACATGTCCCTCCATCCCTCCATTAGCTCCTTACCTGATAGCCAGAGTGCCTTTCCAAATATAAATTTTATCAATTCTTACTAGTGCATCATGCACATTTTAGACGTTCCTGATCATTGTGTATCATCATTTTCTAAATTTTACCTGCAGTGCCTTTGTCTATGAGTCCCATCAATATAAGAGGTTGTTAATGCATTTGAGATACACTGGGTTTTAAGGTTCACAATAATGAGTTGAAGAAGCCTGAAGTATTCCTACACTTAACCTGTCCTAAGACCCCTTACTACAGCATACCTAATAATGCCTAATACTAGCTTATCAGAGATGAAAGTTTACTAGAATACAGTTTGTAAGTGGCTTACCCACAAGTAAAGCTTTTAGCACCACCTCCAAGATCTCTTCAGTCTCATTGCTCATGCTCCTGAAACTCTCACACCGACATCTGAAGCCTTTGGGCCTCCCACATTCTGTTATCCAGAACTCCGTGCTGTTTCACAATGCTATCCCTGCCTGGAGAACCCTATCTTCATTTCCTCTTACAATTTGACTAGAAGACTTTTCTGTTTTACTGAAACCATCTCACCTGCTGGGCAAGGTTTGCTCCTCACTCAGTACTTCCAGTGGCACTTACCATGTGGTCACATACCTCTCCCTGGGAGAGTAAGGAAGGAATCTTGTTCTCTTTCTCCATGGTGCTGTGTACACTGCTTTTTGTCACAGATAGTGACTGCTTTCCAACTGAGCACCATTAAGAAAAAATAAAAGCGTATCTGGAAAATGATGAAGAAACATTCTCTGCCACCACTCTTCTCACTCTGTTCTGTTTATAATATGGAACATGGAATGACGCCCTTTTCATAAAAATTCTGTGTTATTAATATAGATTATGTGATTGAGTTGATCATGAAAGCAAGGATAAAGAAAAGGATTGAAATTCATGGCCATAGACATCACAGAGGTTCAAGAGGCAACTAGCTGTATGCCAGGCATAAAGTACTGAGCAAAACAGACAAGATGCCTTTCCTTGGGGAATCCTGACCTTTGGGAGAAATTCACTAACAAACATACAATTACATGCAGACAAACATGTCAGGTTATCACAAATACCTACGATAAAGTGACTTGTTTAGTTAGAGGAAAGGAAAAGTTTTCTCAAGATAAAGCTTAAGCTGAATTCCAAAGGATAAAAGAGTTAACCAAGAAAAAGAGGTTCAAGAATAGTAATTCTGTAGGAGACACTAAAGGCACCCAGGTCTGATTAAAAGTAAAGCTTCAGCGGTAGGATGTGCTAAGGACCTTAAAGTCTACCCTAAGAGCAATGGGAAGACACAGAAGAGTTGGAGGAGGAGAGAGTAAGGTAATGTTTGCAATAAGAAGATTTGTCTCAAAATTTATAGCAAACAGACAGGCGCAAGAGTGTCAGGAAATTGTTTCCGTGGACTCTGGAAAGTCAAAGGTAACATAGACACAGTTAAGTAATGTGGAAAGAAACACTAGTAAGAATTACTCTTAAGCCTGTTGCATAAGAGATTTGGACAAGGCCATGATGCCATTTTTGGATGCATTGAGATTGAGCTACCTTAAGAGGGAAGGGATGCCAAAGGAGACATTTAGGTATGTAAGTACAAGAGTTCAGAAGAAGCAGGGATGTGGGCTGCAAAAATTAATGATGACAAGATTTCAGCTCTTGAACATGATGCTGCATCAGTCACTGTTACTCTCAGGAGATCAGATTGAAATCTTCATAGATGAAGTAGAAAACATTTTTTTTTAAAGGGAGAATGGGAACCATCATAGGTGCTTACAGCCAGAAAGAGACTTAGATCATTTTTTGCCAAAGGAAAAAAATGTGACAATGTTTTGCCAAGGGAGGGGAGAAGAAATGTTACATTTATTACTATCCTTACATTAAAATTAATTAAAGTAGTCCTAGTGTAGGATAGTCAAAAGAGCCAAATATAGTACCAGTCAAAGTAAAGCTGTTCTAATTATGAAAGGAAAGAGGCCTACAGATCCATCTGGGTGGTTTTATATTTGAAAGCAGGCCTGGCCATTAGAATCCAGTCTCCTTGTTCACATATGAGAAAAGAGAGACCCATGGTTACAAAACAGATACCAACATGGAGCCAAGACTTACCCTGGAGGTCCTTAGCCCGTATTCACACCACCACTTAGAACTCAAGAAGACATGAGTGGTAGCTTTGATCCTTTACTCCTTTCCTCATTACATCTGAGTTTTACTGGCCAACCTATATGGCAGTCCTTTGGTGTTTATTCCACACAGCTATATATGCTATGTGACTAGGGACCAACATGGGCAAAATACAGGAGTAGGGACAATGTTAGGGTCAGTTGATGGGAATGGAATGTATTGTGCATGGTGATGAAGATTCCAAAGAAAATTAAAAGGTTGAGAGTAAGAGTTGGTGAGGACAAATAATACAGCTAAGAATTTAAAATTTTGGAATATTTATAATGCATTCCTGTAACTGTCATTTCAGAATATGAATTCAAAGTCATCATAGTGTTGCTCAAACTCCTACATCCCCAATTATTGTAAAAAGGGAGTTAAAGCAAAATAAACATTTTCCCAATGAGTAAATAGATACAGATACATAGTTATATACACAAGTACACACACATTCTTTCTGATAGCTTAGAATACTTTCCCTAAATTTCTCTTAAGAATAAAATGCTGAAACAATGATACAGGTTGACCCATTATAACAATGAGATGTACAAGACAACATGTTGAAAATGAACTTTACAACTTGGGGGCGGGGAGGAGTAGGGGAGGGAAGGAAGGAGGGAGGGAAGGGAAAAACAAAGGAAGGGTAACCATGTTCGATAGGAAATGTACTCATTACCTTACTCATGTAACTGTAACCCCTCTGTACAATATCTTTACAATAATATATATATATATATATGTTTAAAAAAGAATAAGATAGATGGAGAATAAATCTAACCTGACTAGTGAAAATACCTTGCTAACAGCTTGGTGAAATTAATTTGATTAAATCTACTTATTATTTGGAATCAAGCCCATATATTCAGAGGGGCTTGATCAATCCCAAGTATTTGCTAGGAATGACAAACAGTATGATGACGTTAGCCCAGAGGAAACAGAAAACAAGATAGTTCACTCCATTGGGAAAGCAAAAAGGGAAAAAATGGAGAAAATACAGTGTGGAAAAGTCACTAACATTGAGGCTAGGTGGAATGTTTTGGAAATTGTCTTTAGAGATTGTAGAACAAAATATGTTATGAATAAATGCATGTTGTCAAACACTATCCATCTTTCTTGTAGATATTCACAATCTAGAAAGACCTCTTAGGAATTAGAACAAAACTTCAAAACAGTAAATCCACAGTTGGGAAAAGAACATAGAGAAAGACCATTGCATTGTATCATTAGCATTCTGGTTCAGATGGAAAAATATTGTTTTCTCCCAGTCCATAATACTTTGCTCCCATGTTGATAATAATTCTGATCTTAACAAACAAAACAGAGCATCTGCTAATAGATATCTCCAGTCGCATAACCAATTACCCCCAAAAATATACTCAGTATTTGATGGTAAGCCTTTGTATAAATAGCTTTCTTCTCTGCAGCCAGTTTGATGATTTGCAGTGTAAGTAAAGGAACCATCCTTTAATTACTTCATGAATATCATGATTACTAGGAAATGATAATTCTGTAGATGGTATCCATCAGTGTGTAGCTAGACTCTTTCCCCATCCACTCCTTAGAATTTATAGCTCTATGGGGGCTGGGAAGGTGGCTCAGTGGTAGAGTGCTTGCCTTGCATGCATGAGGCCCTGGGTTCGATTCCTCAACACCACATAAGCAGAAAAAGCTGGAAGTGGCGCTATGGCTCCAGTGGTAGAGCACTAGCCTTGAGCTGAAGAGCTGAGGGCCAGTGCCCAGCCCAGAGTTTAGGCCCCATGACCAGAAAAAAAAAAAGAATTTATAGCTCTACATTCCATATCTATCATCTGTCCTTAATAAAAATCATAAAAACCAACAGACAATTTAAACTAATATGCCTTATGGTACGTCCCATGTATCACTCTACCAGTCCTTTCAGAATGCTTTCTTTCATCTTTAACTTTATCATGAGACAAAGTCAGTAATTACACAGACAGACTCTAAGTGTCAAATGCTATTTAAGAAATCTAGCCCATAACATGCACAATTTTTGTAAAAAAAAAAAAAAAAAACAACTAGGGAAACAAAGATATTACAGTGTTTGATTCTAGCCCGACACCCTCAGGAGAAGAAGGCAAACGCAGACCTGAGCTTGCTATAGAAAGTTCATGGGTAGCAGTTAAAAATGCAGCAATAGAACAGCATTCCTCTGGATGCCTTTAGAATCTTGCTGCTTCATGCAATTAAAGGCCAAATGAAAAATGTCATGATTAATCTTGATGTTAATAGAAGGTAGCATTTCTAACTCCTGGGCCTCAACTAGAATCCTACAAAGAAAACCTTCCTGCAGGAACTGTGTGGCTCATCTGGTTGATCCCTGAGGTGCAATTGCTATAATCCCTTAGAATCCCTCTTGTACCATTCCTTCCTGAGGGACATTGGGATAAGGAAGGACCCAAGGAGAGGCTCATGCCATGCTTATAGCAAACCACATCTTTAAAACATACATAAAATATACAATGAATTCTTGACTACATTGTCCCTCCTTCCCCTTTCATTCCTCTACCACTTTTCCTTTGCCCTCCTCCTCCTCACTTGCAAGTACCCATTTCCTGGTAGTTATTTCGGGGGGTGGGGGGACTTTGGCTTTATCTTTCTACAGAATTACACTATTTGAGTTCTCCGTGGAGTCTATTATACTTCAGTGAATTCATTTGTAGCTGCTTGTATATCACCCAGTGTGTTTACTTATAGAAGTATAGGCACGTTCTAGCTACCACAAGGAGGGAAACAGGCAACCTTTGTTCCTCTGGGTTTGGTTTACCTCACTTAATATAATTTTTTTTCCAGTATACCAGCACACACACTGCATCTTGCATTCCACAGGGCTCTTGCCTCTACCTTATCTTGTCCTCAGTAACAGGTCCTGTAGCATCTTACTTGGATCTAAGCCAATGATGCTGCATACTCTAAAGAGAAGACAAAATGCCACATGGCTCATTAGAGAGACCTGTGGTATAAATTCATCTCTCAGTAGGCTTCCCAAGTACCATTTCTTCTGCCCCTTTCATCTGTCATGCAGCCCAACTCTGGTGTCCTCTTGGACTCTAGTCCAAAAGTTATTCTTTCCCTCTTCCAGTTTCAGGGTACTGTGTACCAATTGGCATTGGCCCATATCACCTCTACTTGGGGGCATGCCAATTCTATTTGTGTTTGTCTCTCCCCCTTGTTGTTTATATGTCCCTGAGAAGAAAAGCTGAAATGTCATGTATTTCTGCATTTTCTATCTTAGGTACTAGATGATAATAGTAATAAAAATGGCATATATTGAACACTTCTTCTATGCTAGGTACACAATATATATCATCAAACTTTGTCATTGCAATTCTGTAGACTGGGGCAATACCACCTGTGTTGTAAGGTTTTTTTCCCCCTGCTGTCCACCGAATGACTTTGAAACAGGCAGGACTCCATTGGTAGTCTGATGGCTTTAACTTCATTCTGCCTCCATAGCTAACCTCCATACATTTCACTGAATTACACTCATTGAATTGAAATCTTTTAACAGTCCTAGTTTATTTGACATTGAGCATATTTAAATTTTTAGACCACTCATAGATAGAGATTTAACTAATCATATCAGTTACCATGCTTTATATTTCCTTCATATTTTGCCATTTTCAGTCTTTTCATATATACATATACATATATATGTGTATATCCTCAACAGATCTCACACCATCCTTGTAATGTGAGCATGGTGGCTTCCTTTCCCCCATTTCACTGATGAATAAAATGAAGAAGAGAAATGAAATGAAATGCCATCGTCTAGTCACACAGTGACAGAGCTATAACTTGACCTCCCCTTATCTTGTATACATGCAAGGCTCCTGCTTCACCTTGCCTTTTCCTCAGCAATATTCACCCATTCATGGACACATAGACCCAGTGGAAGGTACCAAGAGCCAAGTGCTTTGCAAAAGGCTTCCATGCTTTGGGTTGTCTGGTTACCATAGCAATTGTCGCTCTCCTCATGGCAAATGAGATCACCTAGCGCACACTTGCTCTCAAGATTTGAGTTACAAGAGATGAGGCATTTTCCACAGAGGGCCATTAAGTCTGGAATTCCCTTCCCCTGGTCTGATATAGCCCTGGAGTATTGGTCTTCTGGGTCTTTGCAAACCACATCAAGTTGAGTTAGGCAGTTGTGCTTGGTAAGAAATCCTAATGGGCAAGAAGAAAGGACTAAATTGACTTTCAGTTGTGAACAATTTGTAATTTTGTGTGTGTGGAGGGGGGTTGCTGCTTATATCCCCCTCAGGATAGCCCCATAGCTGGATATAAATTCTCCTTCTTTAAAAATAAAATTTTAGTTAGCAGTTTGCTTGAGTTTGTTTCTATGTTCTTACATCATATCACAAATGATGTGATGGAGAAACCTACTGGGAAGTTTTTGTTTCTTTTACATAAACTATTTTGCAGTAATTGATCCGCCATAGAGAAAAGATGATCTCTTGTGCACTCTTGGCGTGTTCTGTGGTCACTAGAGACCAATAAGCTGTGTCTCTGGAACTATTATCACTTTGTTGAAGAAGCTGCTATGTGAACAAAAACCAGCCTTCGTTAATTTCCCTTTTCATATTTAAAAAACCTTGTCAGTACTTTCCCCTTGGGAGTGTGTAATTTGTCAATAGTGCATAGTATTTTAGATCTGAAGGGGAGAGATGAAGGGAATAGGTCCTTCCTAGGTTCTTCATATTCACTGACCTTCACACCAGATGTTAGTCAATATGTTTCCACCCGATAAAGTGAAATCTTCCATACAACATACCTTTTCCATCTTATAGAAACACAACATTTTAGAAATGCAAAATACTTTTGAGAATAATTTGAACTCAACACCTATTTCTTTTGTCCCCCAACACACACATTTAACAAATGGAAGAATTGAGTACTGAAACGTATGAAGGTCAGAATCAGTATGTATGTTCTCTGTCCAGTGGACTTCCAACTGTTTCCTTCTGTGTACATCTGTAGTTCGCAGTCTGCTGAGTGAGCTTCCTAAAATAGGGATGATCCTTAAATATCTCAAGTAAAACGGCATCATAAATGCTCGTTAGTGGGTAAGGATCTTGGATATTACAGTTCCCTTTCATGATCACATCTTTATTCAACCCCCTGTGTCAATGTAGAAAAAGTTAGAAGAGGGTAAAGTTATACATGATAGAAAAGAATTTGACCATCTTTGTTTACCAGCATCTGTATTGGAGATGAAGAATATTTTAAGAAATAGACTCATGAACCTAAACTTATTCATTAACGGCTTAAACTACCTGACATGTACATTAACTAGAATCCCATTGTATGTTTCATACATATATGAAATATATGTGAAAATATAAACATACATATGTATTTCCAGCAATGGCAAGGGATCTGGGAGCCTGTGTTGAGAATGAGAAGAGTAAGAATTATGATTTAACTTGACCTGATCTGTCAGTGTATTCTTTATGGATTTTGTGGCCTGGGAAAAGTTGGTTCAGGAATTTTTATTTTTCATACCGCTGTTAGATTTTCTTCACTGAAACCTGCTAAGCACTCACTGTAAACTGTATTGCAGTTCGTTTCAGTGTTGGAAGGGGTGTTGTCTAAGCTATCACGGTATGATGAAGGCACTTTCTTCTCGTCCATTCTGTCATTCACTGTAAGTATTGTAATGAGTTCTTCTCTGTGGTCTTTTCATTGGTATCTTAGCACTTACATGGCAGTTAAGAACATAATTCTCACAATTATCTCTTTTCCATTTAAGGTGAAGGCAGCTGCAAAGTATGTTGATGTTCCTGTAAGTATTTTTTGTCTGCTTTTCAAACAATACACAATTCTCTCTCTCTCTCTCTCTCTCTCTCTCTCTCTCTCTCTCTCTCTCTCTCTCTAATTATGTCTCACCACAGGTTTATTTCAAATCTTTATACCAGTGCCATTCCCCTAGGGAATAGTGTATTTTCCTCAAGCAAGCACCAGCCCTCATAACAAGGCTTGGCACGTTACAACAGTGTATTTTGTCTGTAGTACTTGTGAGCGTTTTTACAAGGCTGGATTTTCATGAAAACATGAGACCAGACTTGCACAGGAAAGTCATAGCACTTTGGGATGGAACAAAAGATACCTAAAAAAATACTTACTGTTCTTGCTTTTATGTGAATTGCTTCTTATACAAGTTAAATTAGCAATAAAGGTTACCACTCTGTGCAGTATTTTTACAATAAAAAGTACCAAAAAATGATCCGCATCATATAAAAGAGACAAATCATAATAACTATAAGATCCATAGATTTATACATTTAAAAATTCGTTAATACTCAAAGATATGCTAATTAATATAAAGTGTTCATTTCTTGCCAAAAAAAGGTGAATGAGTTAAATGAAAGAATTTGTTTTCTAAATATTGAACAGTTTAAAGATCAGTTGTCACATATTTAATATTTTGTTGTCACATTTTAATTTAATATTTTGTTTTTCTCAGAATTTTTGGGAAATAAATAACCTGTAAATCTGTTGAAAAATTAAGATGCCACTTACAAAATTCATGAAACCTTCTTAACTAGCTTTCATGAACAATCACTTATGTGGGAAATAAAACTGATAGTTTAATATAGCAATTTAGGTTATCATTGTATCAAGTTAATTTTGGCATTGCTTATGATCAAGATATGATGTTCTATATAGTCATATTTTGGCATATATGCCAATTTTCAAAGAATTAGAACACAGTGGAAATGACTTAAAATTTAAGACTTGATGGAATACAGATTACTGTTCATACCGGAGAAACATCCCATGAGTAGACATCATTGTGGATGCTAGCAGGTTGAATGCTAGAAAGGCTTGGATCTCAGTTGAGATCTGAGGATCCTGGTTCAAAACCAACCCAAACAGAGAAGTCCATCTGACTCTTATCTTAAATTAATCACCACAGAGCTGGAAGTAGAGCTGTAGGTCAAGTGGTAGGAGCTGTAGGTCAAGTGGTAGAGCACTAACTTTGAGCAAAAAAGCTAAGGTACAGTGACAGAGCCCAAGTATGAGTCCAAGTCACACAATTTGTGCACATGTGCGCGCATGAGCACACGCACACACACACACACACACACACACACACACACACACACACACAAGCATTTGTCTAGTGATTCAGTGCACATCTCTTATTCTGGCTATCTAGAAGGCCCAGGTAAGAGGAACATCACAAATTTGAAGCCAGCCAGGGCTACCTAGTAAGACTCTCTCACTCAAAAATAAAAAATAAAATAAAATAACCCTGCACCGATAACTCACTTTTTTTGGGGGGGGGGGAGGTCCAGTCATGGGGCCTGAACTCTGGGCCTGGGCACTGTCCCTCAGCTCTTCAGCTCAAGGCTAGCGCTCTACCCCTTGAGCCACAGCGCCACTTCCGGGTTTTTTCTTTTTGCTTATGTGGTGCTGGGGAATCAAACCGAGGGCCTCATGCATGCAAGGCAAGCGCTCTACCACTGAGCCACCTTCCCTGCCCCATAACTCACACTTTTAATCCTTGCTACTCAGGCAGCTAAGTTGTGAGGATCCCAGTGCTAAGCCAACTTGGGTAGAAATGCTCATGAGATTCTTTCCTCCAACTAACCAGCACAAAGCCAGAAGTAAGGGATGGGAAGGAGAAACAAAGGAGGAGGCAACAATGCTTGATAAGAAATGTACTTGTTATCTTGCCCATGTAATTGTAACCCCTCTCTACGGTATTTTCACAATAAAAATAAAATAAAATAAATTCCATAGAAGAATTAAAAAAAAAAAGATTTGATTCATGTGGTAAAGTGTCAGCCTTGAGAGAAAAAGCAAAGGGGGAGTACCCTAACCCTGAGGTCAAAAGAGGTCAAGCCTTAATGTATCAACATACATACATACACACATACACACAGATATGTAGATAGATAGATAGATAGATAGATAGATAGATAGATAGATAGATAGATAGATAGATGGAATGACATTTCATGCCTCAGGTGGCCTGTGTCATTGAATTGACTTGGGTATTGGGTATTATTTCACATAGTGACCTCAATTTCATCACCTATAAATGCATCAGTTCTTCTGACTTCTAACTGTGGTAATCTACCATCTGAGTTCTTGATATCAATCTAGATCTGTCCAAGAGACAGTAGAGCCCAAAATGTCCCCAAAACTCTTGTAGAGAAAAGGGCAGTACCTTCTTGCAATACTTTTTGCAATACTACCTCTTGTTGGAAATTGTTTTAAAACAAATATAGAAAGTATTAATTCTATGGAGGGAAAATTACCTATGATATTAGGTGATACTCTTTATTGTTGTTTAAAAAATAGGAGGAGAAATTTATGTTCCAGAAAACTTGCTCAGTTGAAATAACTAGCACTATTAAGGTTGTACAAGAGTTGCAAAAGAAAATGATTCAACTCAATCCATTTAAATATAGCATGTCAAAAAATAAAAATAAATAAATATAGCATGTCATAAACACAGTCTTATCTATCTGTGTAATCAGTACATTTCATGGTACTCCCTTTAAGAAAAAATATTAATGTATTCCTGAACAAAGTAAATTCTAATGTCTCAGACTTCTCAACACAGGATCTGAGGTAAAGTCTACCATGCTAGCTTTCTGATCAGGTGATGATCTGCAACTTTAAGATCATTTGATTCAACAACCTTATATAGAGTTCTGTTGGCACTGCACAGGTCATGACCCTGCCATAGTGTATTGGAATGTTCATTTTTCAAAGACATCAGACATATTTTTTAAAATTTATTTAAAAGCACGATCTAGCAAAGCACGAATGGCCCACACCTATAATTTTCTTGGGCCAGTCCTGAGGTTCGAACTCAGGGCTTGGCCACTGTTTCTGTGCATTTTTGCACAAGGTTAATACTCTGTCGCTTGAACCACAGTTCCACTTCTGTTTTGTTTGTGGTTTTTTTGTTGTTGCTGGGGTTTTTTTTGTTTGTTTGTTTCATTTTATTTATTTGGTGCTTAATTTGACATAAGAATCTCAGGGACTTTCCTGCCCAGTCTGGCTTTGAACTGTGATCCTCACTTCTCAACCTCCTTACTGGCTAGGATGACAGGCATGAGCCATCAGCAGCCAGTTTCATGACCGCTTCCTAAGACAAACAAGGTACCTTATTCACACAGTGAAAATATGAGATGTCTTTTCATTATGTTTCCTTCTGTTTTAGAATCCTAAGCACCTTGTATATATCAATGGTGGCTTGTCAAGGTCGAAGAGCGACACTGTGTTTTTTGTTCTCATCTTTCTTTGCTTACTTGTTTCCAACATTGTTTGTTACTTACATAAGGTCACCTGAATACTCAGTGCTTTACGTCAGAATGAGAACTAGGCAGGACTTGGGGAATGGAGCTCCTGCCTACTGGGACACAACTCACCTGGAGAGAGTCCTACGTGCACACCAGAACCAAACTGCGTCTCACTGCTCTAAGTGAGCAGGAGAGCTGTGTGCTATACTTCTGTTGTCTTTGCTCACTTGTTTTTCTTTCTAGCTCTTTACGTAAGGTCAGTCCATGTCCTCCTTACCATTGGCATTCTACCCACTCAGGCCTTGCTTAGTCCAAAATGCAGAAAGTTTCAACGGGACTAAGTAAATCAATCCCCATACATGTCAACCTTAAAAACAAAAATTGAAAGTTTCAGAGCATTTTTAGTCTACTTCTTCAAATCCTTATGAAGTTTTTGTAATTGAAACACCTATAGATAGGTGAGGGGAAACTTAATGGATAATATTGTTAACTGAGCAATTAAATACTTTTTTTTACCATTATGATCACTACGTAGGGCTATAACAGTTTGAAACCTATATACTATACATAATTAACACATTTCTTACCAAGTGTAATTCTGTATCAGCATCTAGCCCTTCAAATGAGATGTGAGTGATCCTTAGTACAGAACAGCAATAGAAAAATTAAAGATACTACATGTTCATAATTTCAAATGGAGGAGACAGAGTAAATGCAGAAATCTCAGCTAAAAAGAAAAGAAGCAACCAGCCTCCATTCCTTGCATATGTCAGCCTAGGATCTTAAGGTATAATTCAGTATTATTTCTAGCATATAAAATAATTTCTTCTCTGGAAAGACTTCTCCCAGAGAAACAACAAAAATATTTCAACATATGAATCCTTCTATTGGCTATTTCAGGACATATGAATATATAAATTAGGTTGTTCCTTAGAGGAAATGACTTATGCATTTGAATATAAAAAATGAGTGCCATGATTATAGCATATAATTCAATATATTTGAAGCTCTGACAGGAGGGTTCTATCTTTACAGACTGCTCATGGCGTAGATAAAAAGAACCTTATCCATAGCAAGAACTCTGGAGTAATGGAATGTTCTCTCTCATCCATGCAGGACTATGTGAAATGTATATGCTTCAGGCATTCACTTTACATGCTCCAAGTCTGAAAGCCATTCAAAAGGATGTATGCTCCATCATCTTTTCTCAGTATTATTATATTTAAGTGGTTGTACAAAGGAGGTGCCATTAAAAAAATACATCTTGATCAGTGTCACCTTTTTCAACATTCCCACTCCTTCCCTCCCTTTGCTTTTTCTTTGTTTAATCCTTTTTGTGTGTATATATATATATCATATATAAATTATCTTTAGTTGTACAAAAGAGGTGCCATATTGCAAAGCAGTTTAAGAATACAGTGCATCCTAACCAGTGTCCCCTCCTTCAACATTTCACCCTCTTCAGCCCACTCCTTCCCTTACTTTTCTTAATTTAATGATATATGCAATAAATTTTTGAGTG